TCCCTTGATGGCATAAACAGGAATCAGAGGGGTATTTGTTACCTGGGTTACAGTAAATAAATCAGTTGCTCCACATTTAGTCTGTTTTCTCATCTACAAAGTGATGGTATCCTCAAGCTATGCTGTGGAAACAAAAAGTTTCAAATTTTTAGTGGCCTAAGATACCAAAGATTTATTTCTTGTTTTCTATTGGGGGCTCACTGGGCCTGGCAGGGGATTCTGTGATGTATTGTCACTATCCAGGCTTACAAGCTGAGGGCCTCTACCATCTGGAATGTTGTTAGTGGCCATGGCCTGGGGAAGGGAATGTGGCAAGTCCGGCAGGAGCAAGTAAAGGCTTCTAGGCAAAATGGTGTATATTCATTCATATCTTATTGGCCAAAGTAAGTGGCATGGCTGTATTTAGCTTCAAACAGGAAAAGCATAATCCTGCCATGTGCATGGATGGAGGCAAATCAGAGGCTGGGTGCCACAGGGTACTTATACCACGTGGTGGTCCTGGTAGATGGAGCATTATATATATAAGAAATTAATGGGGAGAAATGAACAGTATTCAGAAAACAATGTGTTAGGGGAATTAAGAAAAAAATGAGTGGGTTCTGTATCAATTTTTTGAAAGCCTGTAACATACTTAAATTTTTAACTTAAAAACTGGAAAACGTATGTAAATATTAAGTAGTAATTGTAGAAGTAAACCTCTTTTCCCTCTTTGGTTGTCGTCGTCATGTTACCCTCCCAGATGAGGCCTTGAAGGAACAAGTGCTCCTAGATGACTCTTAAGTGAAGGTGCAGTGTTGAGCCTGGCCTACCCTGTGTCCTTATTAAACAAAACACCTGAAATCACGCACCATCACGGTTAAAAAGTGCTCTTCCAGGGCTGGGTGCAGTGGCTCATGCCTGTAATCTCCGCACTTTGGGAGGCTGAGGCAGGCAGATCATTTGAGGTCAGGAGTTTGAGACCGGCCTGGCCAACATGGTGAAACCAGATCTCTATTAAAATAGAAAAATTAGCTGGGTGTGGTGGCACATCCCGGTAATCCCAGCTACTCGGGAGGCTGAGGCATGAGAATCACTTGAACCCAGGAGAAGGAGGCTGCAGTGAGCTGAAATCATCCACTGCACTCCAGCCTGGGTGACAGAGCAAGACTCCATCTCAAAAAGAAAAAAAAAAGTGCTCTCCCAGGTCGTGAAAACTCAAGGTGATGTGAGGCAACAGGTCAGTAATAAACTAGAGTGTGGTGACAGAAGTGGGCCTCACTTTAATAGGCTGCTCCCGCCTATGTGGGAGGTCGCCAAGGCAGGAAAGCTGGCAGTGGTGCACAGAATGGCTTTGTCTGTCCTGGGTGCCACCTGCTCATCTTCCACTTTTCCTGCAGTAAAGTGCCACATTCCCAGGGTTAACTTGTGAGCAGTTGGATGGTTGCTGTTGAACAAGAGTGTTGTGTTGGTTCTTTTGGCTTTTGCAAGTGATGGCTTGTTTCCTCCTGTGGGAGTTGCTCTGCTTTTCCCTGCACTATAGCTTGGAAATGCTTGGCAAATTTCCGCTAAGCTTTGGGATCAGTGTTTCAGCCTCTGTGGCTGAGTACAACGAGTGTGCACAAATGAGTGAAGTATGTTTAATAAGAATAGGCTGATTTGTACAGATGAACTTTGAGCAGTGGCTTCTCAGTCATTGATACATCCACTGGCTAGGAGTCTGTTCGATAATTATTTTCCAGTATTCTCTTTTCCATGGGGAAGGAAACCTCAGGATGCCATCTCGGTATTTCTTCTTCTCCCCACCCTCCCACTTCTATCCCTGTTTCATGTTCACCAGAAAAGAAGTCTGGGATTCTTTCAGTCCCCTGGAAGCTGTGACAACAGTTACCTTCAAAATGTGCTGTAGTCACCTCCCCTGGAGCACCCAGCACAGTCTCATTTCCATAATAATAAATCAAGAAAGGTCTGATAGGTATAGAGGAAGTATTACATTATAATATTACATTGCATGCCATCTTTTAAAAACGTACTTATGGAAAAATACAGGAATATAAATTAAATACCTTTGCCTTTAGCTGAAAGAGTTTTTTTTTTTTCCCTCCAGTATATTCTTGTTACTTCTCCCAAATTAATGCTTGAGCTCCAAATATACATTGAGTCTTTTTTGTCCATCTAGCTCCAAGCCCTATTCCATCTGACTGAGTCACCAGGTTTCCTGTTGCCTCTTGTTCATGCAGGTATACCCCAGGCAGGCTTCCCAGTTAGAGGCAGGGGAAAGATGGTGCAATACCAGATAGCACGCTCTCCCTCTCCATCTGGTATCCTGGGCAGCCCCACAGGGTCTTTTTTAAGTGTAAGCAAGTTTATTAGAGAAACAAAAGAATGGCTACTCCATAGGCAGAGCATCAGCAAAGGCTGCTGGTTGGCCAGGGTCACATCTTTTAGGCAGTTCACATCAGTCAGTAGGGATGCCGAAGCGTGGTCTTTTGGTGGTTATCAGCTGATGGTGTGCCTTTCTCTGTATAAACCTTTGAACATCTGCGTTGTTTATTGGACTTTGCAGTTTCTTATCAGCCCAGGTGGTGGTAGTGACCTGTTGGCTTAAAAGAAGGAAGAATGAGTGGGGAAGTAAGGGAAAGTGAGAGCTCATTGAGTGTGTAAGTAGAAATGTTTTACAGTAATTTGTAGCCCTAGAGAACTGAATGTGGAAAACCAGAGAGGAGGAACTAGCAACTTGGCACCTTAGGAGTCACAGCATGGACGAGATCCAGGTCAGAGACATTTTTTTTTTAAATAATTTTGAGATGGAGTTTCACTCTTGTTGCCCAAGCTGGAGTGCAGTGGCACAATCTCAGCTCACTGTAACTTCCACCTCCCAGGTTCAAGTGATTGTCCTGCTTCAGCCTCCTGAGTAGCTGGGATTACAGGCATGCCCCACCACGCGAGTTAATTTTGCATTTTTAGTGGAGACTGAGTTTCTCCATGTTGGTCAGGCTGGTCTTGAACTCCCAACCTCAGGTGATCTGCCAGCCTTGGCTTCCCAAAGTGCTGGGATCACAGGTATGAGTCACCAAGCCCAGCCCCAGAGACAGAATTTTATCCTACAGACACACTAAGATCTGGAACTGGTGACCTGCACGAGAGCGTCCACTGCATCTGCACATGTTCACACAACAGGAACACACACACACTTTGAGGTTGGGAATAGAGAGAGGCTAATAGCAGGAGCTCGTAGATGTGCTGCAGGTCTGAGAGGAACAGTGTTCTGTTCTTAGTGTGTTCCCGAGAAATATGAAGCTCTTTCATTTATTGATAGAAATTGCCTTTGAGATCCTGTCATTTTGTGGACTTCTTGTTCTTTAAGGATGTAGGATCATGGATGAGAAAGGCCTCGCTTCATGGAAAGACTGTCTGTGCCTGGTTATCTGTTTAGGAAAGCCTCCACTAGATGTGCCTTTCACTCAACCTTGATCCTTGCCTCTGTTCCCACTTATTTTTTGTGTGCTTGACCTTGAGTGGAGGTTATTTGGTGTTTCAGGTTGTCACTAAGAACAGTAGTTTGCAGGAGTAGTTTCCTGAAAGTAACTATCCCTCTAGGACTAAGCATTCAACAATGTTGTTGCCTCCAATCTTGTTTCTGGAGCTCTGAGGTAACCCCCAAGAAGTTACATAAATACTGATCCAGCTCTTGTTGAGGTGCGGGCCCTACCATGACTGATACCAATATATTTGTCAGACTTCTTTGTTGAGTACTTCTATTTCAGTCTTGAGTTAGGCACATAATGTTCAGTTTATCGTTGAAAGCCTTTTCTCCCTGCCCTGGGTTATGCCTTTGGAAACTTAGCCAGTTTAGGGAGGGACAGGGGAGGTAGTGGGTGAGAAGTCCTTCTCTTTCCCTGCCTGCCACCAGGCCTGGAGGTGCAAACCTGCAGAGCTGGAAAGCACATATGGCTTTTGTCACTAAGAAAACCTTGTTGAAGGTGAAATTAAAGTTCCTCTGCTGACAGGAAATTAATTACAGCTGAATATAGTAGACAAGGACACAAGCTAGACTACTTGTTCCATCACTGAGGAATATTTTAATATTATGTAAATGAGTTATTATGCACAGTGATTGGTCAGGATTGAGAGGCGTAGAGAGAAGTAAAAGAGGTGAACAGTTTCCTCAGGATTTAAACTGGCTACAGAAATGTTTCTGTAACTCTGCTGCCTCTTAGTCCATGAAACGCTGAGCAAGGGAAGCTCCTCTGCCTCTTTTATCAGTATTTCTGCTAAGCAATTTTCATGACGGCAATTCATCTTCATCTGTTCATTCCATGACACTTCTAGATCACCCACGGTGAACCAAGCCATTTACCAGTGCTGGGCTAAATAATGAAAACACCTACTTCCTGCCTTCCAGGAGCTTACAGTCTGGGAGACAAGGATATTGGAAAGCATTAAATTTGCAGATAATCCAGCCAGATAAGAAGGTGGATCATACCATTTAGGATTATTTGGTTGAAAAAAATTGCTGAAACAGTCCCTGACAAACTTCAGCAAAGAAGGAGTGAATTGGTAAAAAGGGAAAATGAACAGCCGTAAAGGAACTTGGGAAGGAAGCTGTAGGTAGCAGGAAATAAGAGGCTCTTCAAGGCTCTCTGAATCAACTCCATGCAGCCTTGTATCCATTTGCTCAAGATTGAAATTCTCTGCAGAAGGTGTCTGCTGCATCTAGCTTGGACCACTTGCCTGTTTCTTGGCTAGGGGAAAGCAGGGTACTTGGACAGTGTGTAATGGCAGAGGGACTGTTTGCCAAAGAGAGAAAGTGTTAGAAAGGCACTCTGGTATCCACCAGGGGAATTATAAAATCCAGCCATGGATTTGTTTCCTGGGATTGTCAGCCGATGGGTTGACATACATTTTAGTTGGAGCATACTCAGCGTTGGCAGTTGTAATGGTTTGAGGCCCCGAAGCTTGGAATCACCCACCTATAGGTGCATGAATTCATCAGCACTTCTGTCCTTTTCCCTTATTTTTAGTGCGAGCAGTCCCACCTCATGAGAGAGCATGAGGATGTCCAGGAGCGAACGACGCTTCGCTATGAGGAGCGCATCACAGAGCTCCACAGCGTCATTGCAGAGCTCAACAAGAAGATAGACCGTCTGCAAGGCACCACCATCAGGTACATGGCTCCCGTCAGCTTCCTCTCTAACCCTTCTGCTGGACACTCTGTCTTAGAGCTGAAGTAGCCCCAACTATTAATACTGTTAACTCCAAGACCAAAGTTCTGGTTTGTAGATTATAAACTAGATTATAATGATGTTTTATTTGTATGTAAGGCTTTTAAAGTATCTATTTCTCTTTGCTTTGTTAACCATGTGCTTTCACCTCCCTTATTACGTTCTGATTTGGGTCCTTACAATAATCCTGGAAGGTAGATAGGGTGGGGGTTGTGGTCCTCAGTTTATTGATAAGGAAATGAAATCAGAAGTTGAATGAAATGCTTTAGTCATGAGTTCTAAATGGAGCCCCTTCTGTCTTAGATACCTATGTCCCCGCTACCCCTTTTTATTCACTGGGTTGACTCTAAATATATAAACTGTACCCCTCCCTTGGAGATTTTGAGAGATTTATGAATGTAGCTTATAACTAAGCATTATGTAGGCTTCTAGATAATCTGATTATATTTTGAGCTTACCTCAAATTGCTCTACCAACATGGATTTATCCTCTTAGCAGACTATTAAGGCAGGGGGCAAGATTTGACCCATCATTTTACTGGTGAAAAAGCTGGGGCTTAAAGAGAGTGAGTGACTGCCTTGTTAATATTAGCAGAGGATAGAGGTGGGTCAGAACCCAGAATATCTCTGCTTTTACTGAATTGTCTTTTCATAACAAATAGGGATTCTGCCTTCCTTACTTACTAATCCCTTGGCTCCTAAGTCTCCTACTACCGTGATTAGTTGGTTCTATGTGCCCTGTTCTTCAGAGGAGAGGTTGCTTTAAGAGACTTACTAAGCCATGGATGAGAACATTTTCCTGTTCCTAGTGATGCTCAGGGAACAGCCGGAGGACAGCAAATGGCTGGCACCTACCTTTTTGGAGAAAGAGTGCTTTGTTCGCCGAATGCTTATACAAGCTACAATTTTAAAACAGTTTCAGAGGCAGCTACTTTAAACTCTTCTTCTAGAAGTCAGAGGAAACTTTGGATGCATTTTGTTCCAACACCGAGAGTCACAGTAATAACGGGGCTTCTTGATGAGGCTACTAAGGGCATCTGTTTTCTGGGCAAAATAGTGGAAAAATTTGCACTGAGCTGGAGCCACACAGCAAACTGCATATTCTGATTTAGAACCTCAAGGCCTTTAAATTGTGTATTGGTTTTCAGAGTGATTGTAGGTTAGAAGTACATGAGCAGAGAAGAATGCTTAGCCCAAAGGAATGATTATAGCAGATTTAAAGGAGCCTGACATGGGGCACTGGCAAATTTGTGATTTTTATTAAAACATATTGCACTTTTAAACACTTGAGAAAGTGAAAGCAAATGGGCTCAGTACATTGTGAAAAATACGAAATGTAAAAAAATACACATCACTTAGAAATCTCAATTTCAAGATGTTTAAATTGAATGTAACAACCAAACTGCTTCACACCAAAATGCAGTGAGCTTCTTGACCAGAAACAGTTATTGGTGCCTTTAATTTAAAGGAAGACTACATCTGTGGAGATGTCATATTAAATTCTGCCAGTTTGTATTATGTAAATGAGCTGGCCCCTCCTTGAGGGGATTCCCTGCAAGGCTGGAAGACACGTAGACATGTAGGCCAATGAGACAAGGCTCTTCTTGTCCTCGGAGCTCCTGAGGCTTAGGCATCTCCCCAGCCCTCAGCACTCCAGCAAATTGATTTGGCCTCTGAATTACTCAGGGTTCTCCAGAGGGACAGAAACCAATAGAACACAGAGATAGATATACATCTATAAAGATATGAAAGGGGATTTGTTAGGATTGGCTCATGTGATCATGGAGTCTGAGAAGTTTCACGGTAGGCTGACTGCAAACTTGAGATCCTGGGATGCTGGCAGTGTGGCTCAGTCAAAGTTTGAAAACCTCACAGCCAGAGAAGCTGATGGTGTAATTGTCAGTCCAAGCCAAAGGCTTGAGAACCTGCGGGAACACAAGTGCAGGTCTTGGAGTCCAAAGGCTGGAGAGCCAGGAGTTCTGATGTCCAAGAGCAGAAGAAGAAGAATATCCCACCTCCAGAAAGAGGGAGGGTGAATTTGTCTTTTCCTTTTTAATTCTATCCAGACACCCAGCCAGTTGGACGGTGCCCGCATACACTAAGGGTTGATCTTCCCCACTCAGTCCAACAAATCACACACCAGTCTCCTCTGGAAACACCCTCACATACACACCCAGAAATAATGCTCTAACATTTCTCTCAGGTATTCTTTAATCTAGTCAAGTTGACACCTAAAATTAATCATCACCGTCTCAGCTCTTAATATGCTGTGATGGGCCAAATGCAGTAGGAACTAGGCACCATGGATGAACTTCTGACTGCCCTAGCATATCGAGGGTCTACAGAATTGCTTGTCATAGTAGACAGACACCATGTGCTAGTACCATTATAGACTTTGGTGTCATTTAAATCTGGCCTCAGTTAAGAATTTATTGGAGAAGCCAAAAATCATCATTAAGGGAATAAGCTATGCTATATCCACCCTTAAGCTATACTGAATTGCTTAAGGAAAGAAAATGACAATCTCATAGTTTTCTATTTTTATCTCAGGTCACAATCAAAAGCACCAGGCACCTTCTGTGACTGCCCTAGAAGATTCTCCCATCCTTTATAGTCACAATGCTAATGTAGCCAAAAATCAGATATGGCAGATAACAGAAAAATTCTAACGTAAATTGAATTCATAGCCACATCAGATCTCTTAAATGAAGATTAAGCATTGGTAGGAAAAGATGAAATTGTGAGAATTTCAATGAGGACATCTGGGTAGATTCAAATAAATTTAAATACCTAGAAACTACAAGTCCCACTGAGCTCCCCTTCCTACAAAAGCAGTTCTCCCTCCTCATTCAATAAAGCAAGTCCTATCTTGCTTGGAGACTCTATGTCTATTTCACGCCAGGTAGGAGGTGGCAAATATAATCGCATCCCATTCCTACTTAATTAATCTTTATCTTTGGGTCTACAAGTGGTCAAATATCATCGTGTTCCAAAGAGATAAGTAGAAAATCCCACCTGGAAAGATACAGGTAAAGCACTGGAAGATTTGTAAGATTCCATTAATTTACATTTAATAAAACTTGGGGAATATGTGTGAGATTAGGAACTGAGGGTTCTAGACCAGGAAGGGAGGAATTCAGTGTTGGACTGATCATGAATTTATTGATAGGACTTTTCCTGTAAGAGATTCTGGATTCAGCATGTTAGTATGTTACACTAATCAAACTGGCGTTCACCAGTTTGATTAACTGAAAACAAGGTTCAACAAAGGACTCTACATTAAATTATGTTGAAATGCCAGAACTTTCCCAGTATAATCAAGAAAAAGTTCAGAGGTGTGAGGAGTCGGAAATGTTGACTGGGAGATGATGTCCTTAAAATGGGGTCTTTAATACCACTGAGTACCTGGAGTCAATGTGGGCTTGGTTACTGTATTGGTCCACAAGGTCACAATAGTAATCGAAAAGGTTTGACCTGCTAGGGATTGCTGTAGTGGCTAACTAAGCATGAGGTCTCTAGAACTGATATAAATGGGGAGCCTACTAAAGTTTTACTTGATCATTGTAGTTGAACTCTGGTCTGGTGAACATAGACTTTACATGCCATCACAGTGGATAATCATGGCCTCTTATCCAGCTCACTTACCTGGGTAATAGCCCAGTTATAGAACCAGAGCCCCTGGATGAAGGGGAAGATGTATACAATCATACCACAAGTGGATACAGTAAATTTTCCTTTTACCCCTTCAGAGAGAATGGCAGGCACTTAGAAGGGAGAGTGTGCAGAGGGGAAAAGAGAACTAAATTCTGAGGTAGATTACTAGACAGTGGATCTAAGCTGATAGCCCATGGAGCTCTAAAATACTGGTGGTTCACAAGTCAGAGTAGGGACTTATGAAGGTGTATCAGTCAGCTTGGGCTGCCATAGCAAAATATCATAGACAAGGCGGCTTACACAACAGCAATGTATTTCTCACAGTTCTGGTGGCTGGGAACTCTGAGATTAAGACACAGCTAATTTATTTCCCCATTGAGGCTTTGTTCCTGGCTTGCAGATGGCCACTTTCTCACTGTGACCTCACATGGAGGGAAGAGAGAAAGAGGAAACAAGCTCTCTGCTGTATCTTCATGTGAGGTCACCAATCCCATCATGAAGACCCCACCCTCATGACCTCATCTAAACCTAATTCCTGTCCAAAGGCCCTATCCCCAAATACCATCACACTGGATATTAGTGCTTCAACATAAGAATTTTGGTGGGGGCTGGGCACAGTGGTCATGCCTATAATCCCAGCACTTTGGGAGGCTAAGACGGGCAGATTACTTGAGGACAGGAGTTTGAGATCAGCCTGGCAAACACTGTGAAACCCTATCTCTACCAAAAAGTACAAAAGTTAGCTGGGTGTGGTAGTGCACCCCTATAGTCCCAACTACTTGGGATGCTGAGGCAGGAGAATTGCTCGAACCCAGGGGGTAGAGGTTGCAGTGAGCCAAGGTCGCACTGCACTCCAGCCTGGGCGACAGAGTTGAGACCCCTTCTCAAAAAAAAAAAAAAAAAAGAATTTGGTGCACAGTTTAGTTCCTAGGACCTTCTGTGACTACCCTAGAAGACTCTCCCATCCTTTATAGTCACAGGGCTAACGTAGCCAAGAATCAGACACTGCAGGTTGCTGAAAGTCAGCTGATAAGTAGCATTATGAACTAAGTCCAAACAATAGTAGACCTAGTTATGGCACCATCTGAGAGGTAACCTTTTTTCGACGCCCTAGAGATGTGGTAAATGCTCCCAACTAGCAACAGCATATGGTCTTGTGTTTTGTGGATTGAGAGAGTAGAAGTGGTTCTTCTTATGCATATACCTAAAAATCTACTTTAAAAATTATTGCTTCTTCTACCCTGATACCAAATGCAGACAGGGGCATAACAAAAACAAAACAAAACAAA